CACCCCTCCTCTCCCATTGCATCTCTTGTATTGTAAACAGCTCACAAAAGCATGACAAGGTCTCTGCTCATGTTCCCCCTGCCTCCCTCCCTGTTCTCCCAGCTATTTGTTATTGTCTCCTCGCTATCGTTTGTGTTTGTCTCTATCACGCTTTCTTTATTCTGTTTTTCCTCTGCGTCAGAAAAGCAAAAGTTAATTAAATATGGAACGAGATGGAGCAGCATCTCTTTAAACCATCATGTCATTAAAATGGCATCCCTGGGAGATCAGCTTAAAAGGAGTCGGAGAACAATGTCTTCTCAGTCAGATATTTATGGGCCTGGTTATGTAAACATGCTCCCTTTATTCTCTATGTATATTTCATGTAATTATCACTTTTTGTAGCGCTTCCCTCCTGAGATTTGTAGAGGCAAGAAGTTACTAGGGGAATGTCATTAGAAGAGACTATTGTTACAGCGCAGCTATGATACTGCGCCAGGAAAAAGGCTACATTCTCGTCCTGGTGAAACCTTTTATCTATATTTGACTTCATCATATAAAAATCATCAATGTCTTCTTACAGCATATCTGCAGCTGAGACTCAAAACTCATAGCCCACTCTTTGCAGATGCCCATCATTATTAAAAACCAAGAAACACACTGAGTAAAGCATGCAACAGTTTTTTCTCCTCCCTCCAGCTTTCATCTGATCTGGACACCAGGTTTGCAAAAACCCTGATGCCTCTTACTCAGCCCGCCCATGTGTCCATGTGTTAGAAAAGCTGAAGATCTGGAGTGAACTGGATTCCTTCAGCAGCAGAGGCCAGTGACTGGTGCTTGAAGGCCTGGGTGCCAGCTGACGGAAGCTGCTAATTAAGAGGGCTGGAGAGCCAGTGGGGTGCCTTATGAAACAGGGGCACCTGGGTTTCACAAGAGGGGGGCTGGATATCCATCACAACTCATCTGTGTTGCACAGAGAAGACTATAGTTTGCTCCAGCCCTATGCCACGTCGCACTCTTTCACTCAAGCATAATGTCAAATACGGCTCGCACAAAAGCCCCCCACCCCCCATCCCCGCCTGCGCCCTCTCTCAGCTTGTTTGCCATCACAGAGGGAGATGTTATTGCATGGCATGATGAAATTGCACGTGTCAAGGTGCATTTCATTCAAGCCAAATGCACTTAAATGCAGATGCAAAAAGAAACAGCTGTGTATACACAGTCAGATACACACGTGTAATATAAAAAAATCACTCGCACAGGATCCAGACTCCCACATGCATAACTTAATGCCCCTCTCCTTTCCATTGTTCGTCGAGTCTTCTTCGCTGTAGGGTCAAGATGTCTCTAAGTAATCTAAGTAGCTCTGACTTAAGGGACAATATAAGGTCTGCCATGAGTTCTGTCATTACTGTTTTACCCACCAGAGGCAGATACAGCTCTCGACCACCACTGAACCTGCCATATTGCTATCCAACCTGACCCCACAGATGCAGTAAACCTAAGTGAACCACAGTTTCTAAAGTCGACGGCAATAACCACTGCAGAATTGCTTTTAATCAACGTCTGAAATGAGGGTGACTTGAAGCGTCGCCCCATGCTGATTAAATGTAATTGTTTAATTGCCAAGTGCTGGGAACCCATCCTAAGAGGATTCCAATGGAATTATTTAATCTCTAGTCAGGAAGTACACTGCAGGAAAAAGCAGAGGGAAAAAACGGAAGAACGGAAAAAGGCAAAAATCAAGCAGAAATAGTCTGTTTTTCTTTTTCTTTTTGAGTATGTCCCTCATGAAATATTAACAGTGGTTTACATTTAGTTAGCTGAGAAAGTGAACAGCCTACGCAGGGGAAAATGTACACTAAGTGATGCTATATTTTCAAGAGAGAGGTCAGAGTTTTGACCTGTATCTGCAGATTAAAGTGGTTTGGTCTTGTCTGCAGGTTCACTTTTATGTTTCCAGCTTTACTCCAAAATAAAAGTGCAGTATATCAGTCATTGCTTGGTTGTTAAGAGTGCGGGTATGTGAAAGCACTGCCATCTTTTGTGTTCTTCCTTATGCCAAACATTACAGTGGCTTCTGTCACCTTTTATTATCTATTGTGTAGACCAGATGTGTTATTTGGTTTGAAAACAAGAGATCTCAGCATTAAGTCATTCCAAGAAAGTGCTAAAGGGGAATCTCTAAGAGTTTAACTACGCAGAGATTCTCATGGGGAAATTATATAGGCGCTCTCCCCCCCTCTGATCACTGACTGAGTCTCTGCTAATGGGGCTCTATAAACTTAAGGGGCACAGGTGCGCTCCATTTGGGGTCACAGCTTTTAGATACATTGCTTGGGGGTCATAGAAATCCAACCCCCCCTAATAAACACTTGCACATACAGACACAGAATAGGATTAAAAAGGTGCACGCACACACACACGAACACAAAATTAGTATTTCTCATCTGTGGTTTTCATGGTGCTTCCACTCCCAGACAAGCTGGCATGATCCCCAATACACGCTCAGCCAGTAGCCAATCGGTTTGGCACACATGCCATGACATTTCAATCTATCAACAAAATCAATAGCGGTACTCCTGTTATAACTGCGCACAGTGCAAGCACTCCTCACAGTGATATGGCTCTTGCTGTCGCATTTAGATACACAGGGAGTAAACCCAGGCTTGCCATTCTGCTGATAAATGCAGTTCTGTCATCCCAAGGGAAATGTGCCTGCATCCCTCTGGTCAGAAGTGTGCTTCTGTCCCCCCACCACGCCACAGGCGGAGAGCGAGCGAGGGGAGGTGGGGGAGGCCGGCAGAGGCCTGTTCCCTGCAGCTGTGCCCTTATTCCCAGCACCTGACCAGGGGCCCAGATGTGCACACAAGCAACAGTAACAATTTGAGCAATGTAAGTCCCCTGTGGGACCCAGGCACCTGCAAAATGTAACCCCACTATCTAACATGATGGCGTAATTACAGGTTTAATAAGTCTACATCTGGAAAGAACTTGTTTAATCTATCAAATCAAACCTACCTAGACTGGGGAACAATACAAAAATGGTATTGCACTCTCAGCATTTCATCTGCACATCAAACAAAAGCCACTCGGCACTTGGCACTGACCCAGTTAGCCGTCAGGTAGACAGCAACCACAGGTCATAATGCTGCCATGTATGTGCTTTCATTTATGTGTTACAATGCAGCACATAAATAAAGTGTTTGTTTTTTTTTTTTGTTTTTTTTCATGTCATAAAGACTATCAGCGAGTTATAGGGATGTGTTTATTTTTAAAAATTCAAAATTTAAATCACTTAAAATAAAACAATCATTCAAGTATTCATACAATAATTTTCTTTCAGCTGCTACTCTAATAAATCATTTACACAAACAGTAAAAAAAAAAAAAAATAGCATGAGTGCAGAGTATATACAACAATATACAACAAATGCTAAAGCATAGGACATACTGCAACTATTGTCTTTTTTATTTCCATGTGACAGTAAGTACCGATATGATTCTCCGAGAGTAAATCTGGAGAGAGCACCATCCAATTTTATAGACCTGTAGTTATTAGGTTACATTCTTCTATTACAATTGGAAACAGTCGGGGTGCAACAATATTTAACTTACAATTCAAACACAAACAATAAAGTAAAAGCAGTTAATGGGAACCATGGAAAACCTCAAAGACATGATGAATGGAAGCTTAATCCTACAAGCACTGCACACGCAGGAAGCTGTAAAGGTTAATGGTGACATCTAGTGGCACAAGGAGACACACACCTGCTCTTCACAGTCAAATGATGTTTTGGTATTGTTTGTAAACAGGTTACATCTTTATGACATAAATCCAAAAACTTGTAAAACCACCTAAAGAAATGAAAAATAAAAAAGACGAGAAGTGGTGGTTGTATTGCTCTGGAGTGGCAATATGATTGATAATCAATAGTAATACAATATAGTATGTAGTATCATAGCTCAAATAATTTGAATGTTTTGTTTGCATTGTTTTCCAACATTCCTGTAAAAACAAATTATTTGTTAATATGGGGTGATGAATGTGCAGAAAATGTGCTGAATGTATGAAGAAACGCAATCCTTTACTAATGTAATTTAATGGAATGGAATATATTGTAACGGCAAAAAAAATAAGATAAGGAAAAATAGCCTCTTGCTAGGCTTTGGTAAAACATTTCATTGCACATACATGTATACTTAATTGCACTTTGTGTTTTCATCACTGTTCTTGTGTCACAGCAAGAGTAGTAAACTTTCTAACAGCAGAGGGTGATAGTGATCTGTTTTACCTCAGCTGCAGCAAGGATGTCACAGTGGGTGCGACACTTCTTATGAACATAAATATAAATAAATATAGTGTATGTAAATTCAACATATAAGCTGCTTAACTGAACGAATTAAACATTACCCACAAATTGCTATTTAGCCTGGTAATGGTTATGTTTCATTTTCTAGAGAATATCTATCATATAATCAAGCGGACAATGAACGTGCTAGAGAATGTTTCTTGACCTTATTTCAACGGACACACACAGAACAGTACATAAGACATAGCTGACGGGTCTCATTATTACATCGTCTGCATGGCATGTATCAATAGGCCTGAAGGAACGGTTGTGTTTCACTCTTTCGTTGTTTTTTCCTTCGACCAAAAACCAACACAGCACTGGTAAACTTGTTCAGTTCTTGCAGTAGGTGGAAATTCTATTGTATCAATTACGATTATACTTTTGTTCAGATTCAGATTTTTTTTTTTTGGCAGGATAATTATTTTCATGCTTATGATGAATGATTAATACACAGTGAACTGATTGACAGTCAGTCACATTATTCTGTATAGTACCAACCTTATACATTCAAACACAATTGAGAGCCATTGATTATGGTCTATATGACAATCTGTGTTGCACAGTTTAGCTTCATCTGCTGAAACTGTGGAATTTATGGGATTTTTAATACTTCCTTCCAACGCTTTGGCACACTGTTGGTCCCCATCCATCCCCATCCGTCCGCTTGTCACTGGCCAGCACGAAGGACAGATGACGGGGGAGTTGTGTGCCGCTTCGGGCAGAGAATCTTGCTAAAGGCCCTGCGGAAGCTACTGTGGCAAAGTGGGTACAGGAATGGGTTAATAGCAGAGTTGAGCCACAGGAGCCAGAAGGTGACCTCGTACCAGTGATGCTGGATGCACCGCCCTCTGCAGGCAGCACGGATGATCATCAGTAGGGTGTACGGTGCCCAGCAGATGGCAAACACACACACTATGATGGCCAGGGACTTAGCAATTTTCTTATCCCTGGACAGACGGCTGGGCTGCGCCGCCCTGCTGGTTGAGGGATCGAGTTTACCCAAACTAGGAGAGGAGGTCTGCGAGTGGATAGAGCCTTTTACAGCCAGTTTCATCCCAAACCCCCAGTTGTGGGACAGGGGGATACCTTCCCCCTGGGCAGAGGCAGGTTCGCTCATTTGAAGGTGTAGCTGGGCCTCCCTGCTGTGGAACCTCCTCCTGCGTATGCTGAGGTAAATGCTGAGGTTGAAGAAAGCCACTGAGATGAAAGGAGAGAAAAACTCCAGCATTGAGGCACTCAGCAGGAAGTACCAAGAGTAATAGAACTCCGCAAAGCACTCATCCTTTGGCACGCGGCTTCTACCCACAGCCAGCTCCCAGAATATGATAGCTGGGCCGTACAGGACAAAGGCTAGCACCCAGACACCAATCATCTTGATTATGGCTTGATGAGTCATTCTCTGCCTGGCACGATAACTTACCTGCAGCAAATATAAGCATAAATCAGAAAATATATTTTGAACAATGCTGCCAGTGTGGGGTCACTCTTGCTGCATTCTTGCTTCATTCATATTATTGTAGAAATATTATAGGGCAAAACAACACTAAAAATCTCCATAAGTACATTCACTTTAGCCATAAAAAGGTAGGTCATGTTTATTTAACACCAGTGGTGGAAGATGTATCCAGATTGTTGAAGTAACATAGTAAAAGACCAGTAACACACTGCATTACAAGTAAACTTGTGCATTCAAACTATTACTAAAATAAAATGACTAAGCCAAAGGTACTTAAAGTACTGAAAGTAAAAGTACATATTGTGCAGGCAGAATGGTTTTATTTATTATTTTTTGTTCTAAAACTGGATTGTTTTTAGTGATGCATTAATGTGTAAACGGGGTTTAACCTACAGTGGTGTATCATATTTTGTAAGCTGATCATATGTTTTGTATTTACATTAATGTATTAATGTGTAAAATCACTCGTAACTGCAGTGTAGTGGAGAAAAGGTACAACAATTGCCCCTGAAATGTATCAAAGGACTGAGCACAGTTCAATTACCTCAAAAGTCAACTTAGTTTAAAACCAGCACTGTTTACCACAAAACTGATCTCCCTGAGCTAATCACAGCACAAGCTCATAACATTGGAACATATAATATGCATCCAGATACATAATTATATGTTTGTGAAATCAATTATTTTGTTGCAGAGACAAAACAAATGAACTCCACAATGTGTCCAACACGCTGACAGTATGCAGTACAGAAAAGTGTGTGAATGAGTGTTAAGTCAATGAAGCACCTCTCATGACCACTTGTCTCAATTAGTGTCACATACTATGTCCCTGTCCACATTCTAGTTCAGCGGGCAGCATACTCTACAACCTCTCCAGCTGCTCTAAAGATATGCCACTGTTCTGAATGATGAGAAAGTAACTGCGGTTCTTCTTCAAAGAAGATGAGAAATGGCTCCGTTTATGTTTGTATAGATTAACTGGTGCACAGTAATTCTCGTGCTGCTTCATGTAATGATGCAGCACTCAACAGAGAAGAATCGGGTGCCCTCATGACTCCAATCTGAATTTTTTAACATTATCTTTTTAAATTGTTGGATTCCTCCTGAGACCCTGTAGGATGAATCTTAGCTCCTTCTTGTAATGGAAACTAAAACATAATATATGATCTTTTTTCTTTATTACTTTGCAGCTAGCATTTTGTTAATGTGCTAACATTTCATCTAACTGCCAAATATATGCATCTAATCTGACTCCATCTTTTCTTTTCAAAGACAAACTTTGTCCTGTGACTGTTGACGAGCCTTTGTCTTTCAATGTTCAGAGAGAAATGCTTTTAGGAAAATGCTGCTTGGCTGCCGGTGGTCTGTTTCTGCTATGATTGATCTCTCCAGGTTGGAAGGACCATGGCACGGAGGAGGATCTCTATGATCAAAGCTAGCTAATTAAAGAAGAGGCTCTCTCTCTCTCTGGTGTTATTTGTATTCATTGCTCTGATGTTAAGTGTTTGCTTGTGAAAGGAAACAGAACACTCTCTGTCTACTATGCCAAGCCTCATCCCACCTTTGAGTCAACACACTGTGTATAGGATATAGTCAGACGGCTAATGCACAGACAAGTCACAACAAAAGATTCAATGGGGTGAACAGCTGCGGAGGTTTGGAAATGTATGTTAACTATTAGATACGTGCCAAGACAGCCAGAAAATAGAAAATCGACATTAGTGTCTGTGCAAAGAAAAATAAAGCACTGGAATATAGATTTAATTATTTAAACCTGATGAGGTGGAAATTAAAAGTATTTAATTAATTCAAGTTTAGTCATCGAAGGTTATATCTTATTGACAGCCACGTGTTGTTTTCTGCCTATTTTCTGCAGCCCAGTCTGTCCCAAAGTCGAAATGTGACTTTTTTTTCTTTTTCTTTTTTTTTTTTATCTTCGTCATGGGGAAGGACTATAATTAGGGGTGGCACTGGGCCTGAATGGGTCAGGAATGATTAACCTCTGCAGATGGGCACATTTGAGCGAATGAGGTGGTACTGCCCCTACCAATGACCTGGGAGACTCACTAGTCAGAAATTAAGCCACAAACCACAAGCAGCGAGCATGTGGATAGCTACAAGGGAAAGAGCATTGCAGCTTTTACCATTGTACTTTACATGCTTCATTTGAATGTGAAAAAAAGTTATTTCTCTCAGGAAGGAAATGGAGAAGGGAAAGTTATCCCAAGAAAGTTTAGAATTAGCTCTAAACATATTGCACTCTAGTATAACTTAATTTAACTATGACAAAATATAATTTTCCTGTATATGGCAGGATACTGTGTGTCACAATCCTACATTCACATTATAGGTGTGTGTTGCAGGACGTTCCACTCACCGCTCTGGTGACTGACAGGAAACGGTCATAGCTGATGAGGACAATGCTAAAGACAGACGCAGAACAAAGCAGGTAGTCCATGACCAGCCACAGTTTACACAGTCCTCGGCCCAGTGTCCACCTGCCTGTGAGAATGTAGGGGATGTAGACTGGGATGCAGAATGCCCCTACAGAAACAGTGGTTGGAAAGAGATCAAAAACCAAGACATATACAGCACATTTTCAGTAATGTGCAGCGATGTGATCAATTTGCTCCAGTATAAACAGAAAATCAGTGGCAATACAGTAAAGCACAGCTGCAACAATGTAAAATATGTCTTCACAGGAGAAGTTATAACTGTACATTAATAAACACTTCCAAATGTTCTCATATCTGCTTATAATTACACCATAGTGGGTTATAAACCATGTATTAAATGTTAATATAGCGCTTATAAATACTAAATAACTGGATTAAAGATAGACTGTATTAAAGTGCTACCATAAAATCTTTTTTTTTTTTTTTTTTTTTTTTTTTTTTTACCGCACTGATGTTTAAATGAAGGAAGAAGGATTACAAATACTGATGAGTGAGTGTAAAATAGCAGATCATAGAAAGATTGTTTGCAAAAGTTAAGCAAGGAAGGAAGGAAGTAAGATCTGCAGCTGCTAAATTTTTTGAATGTCCACCTATTAACTAAAAGCTTTACTTGGTAATACACATCTAGCACGCAGAGACTGGCTGCCATACACAGCAGCATCAAATGTATTTCAAGGATTTCAAAACTGCACTCATCATATATCATATCACATACAGAAAATGCCCTTTATGACAGAAATGTGAAATTTACACTCTTATTTCAGTTTTTTTTTTTTTTTTTTTTTTAAAGATTAAGGTTGAACTCACCTACAAGAAAATCTGACACTGCCAAATTGAGGAAGTAGTAATTGCATTGTCTTCTCAAACTCTTGTCCACTTTAAAGGCCAAAATGACCAGTGCGTTTCCCAAAACTATCACCACAACCAAAGTCACCATCATCATCATCAAAATAACAAATATGGGTCCTGAAAACACGAGGCTGCTCTGGACTGCACTGTCAAAATAGTACACACTGGAGTTGGAATCAGTTTGCTCCTCCGACATGGTCCTGATGTGAGGTGAACGACGCGGTCCTCAAATCCTCAGTAGACCAGCGCTGATCATTAGAAGCCAGCAACAGGTGCCAGGCGAATTGGACACAGCATCCAACACCCCCATAAAAGCTCAGACAGCCTCGCTTTCTTGTTGAAACTGAGCACAGTGACCAAGAAAATCCACGAGAGAGCGCACAACGCTCTCCACAAAACGCTGCCTGGACACTTGATGAATTGCGCATTTACCAGTAGCGGCGGGAGGTAACGACTCGCTGTAATGAGATTACTTCTCCAAACGATCACGGAATAGATTTTATCACACAAGTAGCGCAAGATTTTGATATATAAATCATTTCCATGATCCGTATAATAACCTATGTGATGACGTGATACTGGCACAATAAGTTGTATACAGTAACAAGACACAAAAGTTTGGTTTCTCCTCTCACTAATGTGAAATGAATGGGAGTTAGCTGCTACATCTCTCCTCTTAAAGTAGAAAATGGTGTTCCTCCAGCAGCATCCCACACTTTGTTGAATGGAGAGATGTTTGTAGCACAGCAAATCTGATTATTGTCAATTTGACAATGTGTCATTTTATGTGTCATTTTCATGCTGTGAATCAACACAGGGAGTGTGCTGTTTGTTTAATAGTCTCAAGTTATATCTTGTCCGTTATGAAATCCATTCACGAAAACCTCACATTTGATTCACAGGCACACACTTCCTCCAGTTGAATAAGCTTGCGCACACACCACCACGCAAGCAAGCAGTCTATATCAATTTTAGCAGTTGCCTCACAACAGCATGCTGGGATATGATGCACGACAGTCATCGACGTGGAGGCATGACAAAATAAAATTTGGCATTTACAGATGGCATTAGGATGCAATCGCTATGTGGATAGATGATCTGGATCAGGATGAATGTAGACCTATGTTAATGTCAGGTGTACATGCAGAGATCCAATCGCAATTGTCCAGATAATTTACCCAGATACAGATCACCAGTTAACACCAGGTGTAAATAGGGCCTTCCCTCATCCCACACTGAACAAGGTAATAAGAACTTTACGGTTCAACTATAAACAAGCAATAAAACAAATAGAAAAGCAGATTACTCTGCTTTCTTCAATTTCATTTCAGATGTATTGGCCCATCTATGTCTCCTCCATGATCATTTCTTTTGTTTCTTCACAGCTGACACAAGTTTGATATTCAAGGTTTTCACCCAGCAGCACTTGTATGATTTGTAAACTGGGTTACAGCCATTTCTCTCCCAAAATAAATCTCACTCTCCACTTTTTCCTCCCACCCTGCCAACAGCCAGCACCTTCACTCTTGCTGACATGAAAACCTGCACAAGCCACCAGCAGTATGATGGCCAAAACAGGAGCGAGTGGGAGGCACACATACTGGGGCTCTCTCACTGAAGCTCTCATCAACATGCTTTGTGAGAATAACAGTTTTACCAGTTGCAGGCTTATAAAATATTTAACATTCTTGCCTCAAAGTCCAAAATGTAGGAATTTGTATATTTCATGTTCCTGTTTAGCTACTTCCTGTGTGTATATATAACCTCCCAGTGACACACACAGTGGAAGAAGCTGTAGGCCTTATTTGCATTCTGATTCCATCCTGTCAGTACCCCAGCTGTGTGGTCCGAGAGAAATGAGAAACACTGCAGAAGTGATTGAAGGAGCCCAGCTTGAATTACTGTTATTTTCTCCCAAATGGAACCACCGCCATCTCCCAGAGTTGGTCACGCCGCAGTTGCAGCACAGGAACCAGTGCACAGAACGGCACATGGCAAAGTATAGGAGTTTTAATGCAGCTTCATTCATACTCCTTGTTGTTCACAGTAAGCTCAATTAAAGTGAAATGCACAACCAAATCAGCTCTTTAGACATTTTGACCAGAAATGCTTTTGCAGCTTCGTCTTGATTCATTTGAGTCATCATATGCCCCACTTTCCATTCCCAGCGTGTCAGCTTTGTCGAAAGGAAAATGATTGAATGTTTTACCACATGAGAAATGTTTCATAATGGCAATTTAGTGCTGGGAGCTGGGAAAACAACATACATGATTTTTCTTCATCTCAAAAAAAAAAAATAATGCAAAAGGTACAAAAAATTTAAAAAATACACCTTTGGGAATGGGTGTGTAATAGGTAGTCTAGCAAAGAGCAGGGATTGCATAAGGAATTTGATTCACATACTATATAAGATGACTACACATATTGTCAGCTCACATACAGTATGATTAACTGCTCTCCTTTTACTAGAAAAAGAATGACTGACAAAATAACAAATGACAAATAACTTTTCATATTGGAAAGGTCTCAAACCCTGTTATATTTTAATTGCTCATATCAATAGAATTGTCCCTTAAGGGCCAAACTGTAAGTTCAATAGTTGTGTAGTTTTTAACTGCCTATTAAAAAGGTTAGTAATAGTGAAATACCCATAAATGTCAGTAATTAAAATATGCAACAATGGCACAATCACGTCATGGAAACTGGTATCATGCCATCATGGAAACTAATGCACATAGGTTTACACCAGTGATGCACTATTGCTGTGCTCCGGAGACGCTATTAACAGAAAATGTTGTTTTCCTATCTGCCTATTATGGCGTGCAAATCACAAATTGTAAATGGAAAAAGTTCTTCATAATGGATAAAACATTGGCATTAATTTTGTTCTTGTTTTTGATTTGCTTTCATCAGATTGGACGTATTCTATTCCCAGGAATTAAATCAGTCATAGATAATGTAAACATTAATATTAGATCAGTACTCCAAAGGTCATGCACAAAGGTGTTCTGGGTAATATACAGAGTGAATCAAATTTAATATTGGGAACTGCATCTCCAAAGCCCAAGGTGTATTTTATTTTATTTTATTCTTTTTTTTTGTGCCTCAATAAAATGTTTAATCACTGCATACATATTAAACAAAATGCAAGGAAAGTGTGACAGGGAACCAAACAATTTGGCAGGTGCATTGTCGTTGGATTTAGAAATGCATGTGCAGTGAGTCATCTGAATATGAAGGGCACTCAGTGTCACAAACAAAGCAGTGTCACAGAGGGTACACAGAGGCTCTAGTGTTGCCGATTATACTGTGCCCTGCTGTGGCTCTCCATTACGCTAGTACTCAAGTGTTTGTGTTTGGATGCTGGGCTGGAGTACTGATGATATCACACTGTAACAGTCTTGCCTATCCAGCAACAAACCAAATCATGTACAGCACACATCCTCCCTTTACACCCCAATGGAGGCTTTTTGGGGGTCCGTCCAAGGTCATTTTCATATAGTATGTTGTAGGTTACAAATTAGTCGTATAAATTATCAGATTTTCAACAGATCTTCAATATTGAAACATGCAAAACAAGTAAACAAGCCTACAAAACAGGCTTGATCATTTGACAACCATTTCTCTGAGAACAGTTTAAAACTATTGTCTGCCTGTTGCTTCAAGGATCCGAAAACTCTTCCAGAGAACTGCAGCAGTGTATAAGAATGTTTTTTGCTCATGAATTCCTGGTACTGAAAATGTGATGTTAAGCTACAAGTGAGGTTTAGTGGAGATCGAGCTCCCTCTTTTTGCATATTTAGAAACAGAAATAGTTGACTATTTGTATTAAAATTAGTCATGCAGTTTCAGTATTTTGCCTGTCACGTCTTTTAGATTCTCAAAATGCAATGCTGTACATCTATCAGGAACATGGAAAGTGTCTAACTAATATAGCGAAATGGTACAGTCTTGATTTTTTTTTTTTTTTTTTTTTTTGCATTTTACTGCATCTCTGGCCATTGCGCCCAGGGCACAGTCCCTTTGTGCAGATTTGCTGTGACTTGGCTCGTTCCAGTGACAAACAATATCTGACTTTGAAAAGACATTCAAACAAAAAGCTGAGACAACAACCTGAACAATTATCTAACAATTATCATTTTCCGAACAACAAAAAAATATTCAATTACTACAGATAGCATTTTGAAATTTGCATTTTCATCACAAACTCTACCAAGTTTCCTCCGAGTTGATTGCCCTCTAAAATCAAAAAGAGAAAAGCTTGCTCCAACTGCTGATTTGCAGGGCTACATAAATATTCACGGTATGGGATAATTGCCATTTGAACATAACAGAAATATCCCCTGGTAGTCTCAGTCTTCACATCACATCAGAGCTGTCACAGTTTACATAATAAATGCTAATCATTAATGAGAGAGCTGAACTCATAGTTGGATGGCTTCACAGCCTCACAGTCTGTTTGGCAGAGCTGCCTGATAGATGAAGGGTGCTGGCATTTAACTTACGCTCCAGATCCACAGAAGCTCATTGAAATGCTGTGGGTGTGCCTCATCCTGACAGTATTTTGACTTGTTAAATTTTTCATCTCATTATCAAAAGCTCCAAGCTGGTTAATCCATATATAACCGCACCCCACCTTCATACCAAAATTTATTGAGTAAGTCATTGTAAACATCACTGAGCAGTAATTATTACTGTAAGAATGATGTAAGAATTAAAAGAATTATAGTCAACAAGTTTGGAGCTGTTTGTACAATTTAGAAATTTAGCAATAGTATGTAGTCCCTATTGCCTTCTTTTTCAAATGTTCACCACGATGCATACAGCACGGGACTTGCTGCTTCCACTTGCTTCTGAATGAATCCTTTTGTTATTGTGATGTAAATATGCATTAAACATCCTTCAAAATTAGATTGTTACTTCAATTTCCTTGCTAAACCTGAAAAACAAATTACTGGAGGTAATCTGTCCCAAAATAGTGTCACATCAATCCTAAAGCATCAATGCAGAATTAAAGCAATTATTTTAGAATTATATTCCTCATATGAATATCAATGCTTTACCGTCTTAACACCCATCGGTGCTATTGACAATACCCATGTGAAAATAAAAGCTAAACCTGATGATCCAATAGGGACAATGCTGTTCAGACCATTTTAGAGAAACAATGAATGTGCCTTGTGATGAGTCATATCTCGAGTGAAAATTACTTTTTTAAGCATTGTAAACTCTGTGGTAAATGTGGCACCTTGGGTCATCTCCATATAAAAAGATGTAATATAGAAAAGAGAAGACAGAAAATAACAAATTACTTGCACCATTTATTTTATAAAACCTCCTGAACACCATCAGTGGTGCAAAGAACAGTCCCATGAAAGGCCCTCTGCAACCATGGTCCACCCACACAGGTATGTTCACTTGTGTTACCTGATCAGACCTGAGGGCGGTGTGGGAGTGTTCAGGTTGGGCTTGATTTGTGTTTTATCAAACATTTTATGGTCGTGTCATCCTCCGTCACTTCAGCCACCCTCCTTCTCTCCTGCTTGTATCATTTCACTGTGTAGCTATAAAATAAGAATATAAACAAACAATATTTCCTGAATGAGAGATCCCACACTCCTCTGAAACTGGCTGGAAGTCACCTGTGTGGGTGTACAGGTCATTAAAGGAAGGGACACAACAAAACTAACCATTGGTGTAGTACAGCATGTCCTATCATGTGCTGCACATCGGGCTACAACAGACTGTTTTCCTGCAAAGTGCTGCCTGCGTTTTTGGCAATTATCTTTTCTTGGTGCTTGAAGATATTGTATCCTCTAAATCCGCTAAGACACAGAAAACATTACAACTGGTGAATCCTGGAATAAGTTATATATTGTATTCTGCACAACAGGTAAGCATACCACATGTTGGACTCAAGGAGAAAGAAGGACTATTGATCTGCGGTTATTAGCTCTGAGCTCATGCTGCACATCATGCAATACAGAAGACTCACAGAGGATTTATCATTGGCTATTATCTTGTAATAGATTAAAAAACATAATGTGTCAGTGGAAGAATAACTTTTCAGACCTACTTCCTTTTGGGCCAATCACTTCAGCAGTCAAATAAGCCTCTCCTATTCAGACAGCTCTATGTGAAGGGAATACATGCTGTACTTCCTTTCCCTACCTTTCCCTCGCTCACTGTCTCTCTCTCGCTGCCTGTCCCTAAAATGTCCCTGCTGGGGATTCTATCTCTTGGTTCCTTTTGAAGCAGTGGCCTCTCTTTGCCTCCATTATCTTGTAATTTGTGAGGGATTACGCTCTGGAGCACACACAGTCCACCCCGTTGCTTAAGAACTGTGACAGCTTACAATAATTGCCATGCTAATTAGCAGGAACTAGCCCAGTGCGCTTCTTTCCCTCTCTAGACCTGATTTGATGAATATGCTTTGATTAATGTCTGCAGCAGTGTTTCCATAACTTCCGATCCGCTGTAATTAACCATGTCACCAATAATAGTCACTGACTGATATATGCTAACAAATAAAATGCAGAGGCTATTGTTTTCTGAAGGACAAAGAGGAAACCTGTTTTCAGGCACTGAGAGGGTTTTATTTAGGTGCTGGCCAAGTGTAGGGAGCAGTTATTGCAATAAGATCAATAAAAACATCCCTGGAGTGTGGAGCAAATCATGATCAGCTCAGCCATAATGACTTGAAAAGACCACCTTTAGCCCATGATGCATTTCTCAGCTGATGGAGGTGGTTACTCCTTTCTATCAATAGCATATAGGGCATGGCAATAATTACAACCAACAACAAGATAGGTACACTGGCTGAAAATTAAAAGGAAGCTGTGAAGTGGCTTTTTCTTCCCCCAGCATGGGGTGGTCCACATGACCTTGTCTGTTTGAACAGGTGAGAGGGCTACAATTGAACACATCCTGGGCCAAATATTGAGCGACACCATTTTGACTCAACTGTCATGCATAATGTTATACAAAGATAAATGACGACAGACCAATGAGGCCAAAAATTGCTGATTTTGTCAGTGATTACAAAACCACAAAGAATATAATCAAATTTACTTTTTTTTTTTTTTAAGAGGTGAATGTGGGTCAACAAAAATGTGAGAACTTTTACTTTTATGCAACTAAAATGTAATATCAAGCATTGCTACAAAGGTAGGTTGCATGCCAATTAGCAGCCTTTGTCAACCCCCTGAACAGAAAACATTTGTTTGATGTATCTCCTCTGTTTTTTTCCCTCTTTTTCAGAGCAGTTTGTCTTTGTATGGCATTATTGTTAGGATTTCCAAGACTTGTTACCCTTAATTCCCTGTGACGATACATTCTGCCGTTATTCTGACGATTGCATCTGCAATTTAGGCACAGCTGAGGTGGCCTCTTTGGAGCTCTGCTGGTTGTTTCATGTTGCTTTGAAAACTCATATAACAAAGTGCTGATTTACAGACTTATCTTGCAAATGCTGCTGTTGCTATTCAAAAGCAGCATGTTTCTGCATGTGATTTAGTGACTTCAGCATTCAAACCTATTCCATTAGGAGTTTATCTTATTTTGCTGACCCCTTCTGCAGCTGTATTGTGTAACAGCCTTCAACGTTTCTGATCAACAGATCTCTCTTCTCACAGGTGAATCACTAACTCATCGTCGAAGTCCTCTTCGACACTAACCTACATTACAGCATGACCTCCCCTCCATGCCAGATATGCACATATCTCAGGGGACCTAATTGCTTGAAGTAAGCAGGGCCTTCAAAGCCTCACATGGAGAACCAACATTCAATACCTCAAAAATACCTGCAGCTACAGTTGTCTACATAGAATAAAAGGGCCCAAAATGTCAAGGATGATTGACCTTTAAGGCAAGACATGGCAGGAGAAAACATTGTTTTTTCAAGCACTGGTCAATTTTGAGATTTTGGGCTACATTTTTAGGGGTTTATTTCACCTTTTCTGTTTGGGTCTGTAAATTTCTCATAAATTCAACAAAAGTTAGTTTGTAAAAGTTAGTTTTATTCCTATCTATATTCTGTTTTGACAGAGAGGTTTGTTTACTAACATTTATAGCCTTATGTAACATTTTATTCCTGAAAACATGGCAAAACTGTTTTTTTGTTTTTTTTTTGTTTTTTTTTATGGCTGTTGACAGTAGGGTATTTTCTCATTTTCAGAGTGATAAAAAGAGACATCCGAAATCTCCTCTGCAAAAACATTGACTCTAATATTTCAACAAATTGAAGCAAGAATTTTGATCCTGGCTTCATCCAATTTGTGTTCAAGAAATGTATGCAAATTAGTGCATATTTAATCAGAAAATGTGTATGCATATTTAAACGCAAAATTTCAGAAAACATGTTATGCAAGAAATAATTGTCTTAAAATAAGTAATCAACTGCAGGTGTTTCAAGCTGATATCTATTAGTTTCCCTATTCACCTGTAGTGTCTTGCCTTAAAACAGAAGTGAGGTAAAATTATGGGTAGAGGTTTAAAATGTGGCTGCACTGTGCAGATTTCTGCAAATTTTGCCCAATCATTGTAACTGTGTCCCTGGCAGAAGCTTAGAGAGTAAACACAGCTATAAACTATACAGACATCACCTGGTGCAGCAAATGCTTCCATCTAGTGTGCAAATGAAGAATTGGGCTCTGGTGAGTAGTTTGGTGAGAAGTTCATTAACACATTAACAAATTGTTTGCAAGTGAAAAAAAAAAGAAATGCACTAGAATTGTCAACCAGAATTATCCACTGCAACAATGAAACTGCATGCACATATGTACAAGTCAAAGTTGAAACAGGAAGTGCAAAATATACTAAATAATTTCAGACAGTTTGTGATGGTTTTAATGTCAACTTATTTGATTACAAATTATTAGAGTTCTTTATATCAAAAAAATTCTTTTTTGGCATATTTACTTTAATGAAGATTAAAGTGTTCTCAATTATTCTGGCTAATATGACAGTATTCAGGTTGAAGCTGTGTTGAGTCACGCTGGGAATTACATAAGGTCGCCAAACTCTGTGAACTAATCACAGTGATACTGGTTTAAGTTGTCTTTCTCTAACAGATGCGATAAAGTAGAAGAGTGAGGAAGGTGTCAGACGAAGCTGTAAATAGTCTTATGACAGAGGTCCACCAAGGTAAGATCGAGACAGAGACAGAGAGAGATATGAGATGGTAACTACAAGCAACGAAACCCTCGTAACTGGAATCAAACTAAGGATGCTGCATGCGATTCACTCTATCACTGTTGCTATAACAATAGTGAGAAAAATGTTAAAACCTCTAAGAAACCATATGGTTCACCCACACAGGTGTTTTCCCTTATGTTGCCTGATTAGAGCTCTTCTCAGGACTGTGAGTGGGTGTGTACAGACTGTGCTTAATTGATAGCTCCATCACTTGCATGTTAGTTTACTTGCACCTGTTAGGGCAGGAGAACTTGATCTATATCAATAATCAGTTATTTATTCACTTTCCCAATAAACAATTTTATGTTTATGGGAAATATCTCTCTCTCTCTCTCACACACACACACACACACACACACACACACACACACACACACACACACACACACACACACACACACAGTGGGGTCCAAAGGTCTGAGAGCACTTTCCATATATCCATAGCTACGTCCCTGTCCCTGTAGACCCGTGTAGCAGCTGTCTAGTCACATGACGGCTGTCAGCTGATTTAAATGATCAAATTTCGGCTGTGTTGTGTGTCAACTCTCTGACTGAACCAAACCAAAGTCTGAGTCTGAGTTTGGATGCATAAAGAGTAGAAAACCCCTACCTGTAAGTCACTCTAGCTAACGCACATTAACACGCAAATTAGGTAGTCTTAGGGTAAATTTGCCACAAATCCTTTGTGTAAGTTGCGCTTAGTTTATGCTTAAAAATAAGTTTCCCCTCAATTACTTAGTTAAAAGAACTGAAATAAACAGTTTGACTTACCATGTGGACGAAATACTTCACGTTTTATGTTGTCGTCAAGAAGCTCTACTCACCTTTTAACGGTTGTATTTCTACCTAGTAAAATAAGCTAGTGCTAAATATCATTGACAGGGATTTAACGTCTGCTATCTTTACTACTGGGCCAAAGGAAGTCGAGCTAATGGAGGCAGATGCACCTGAGGACCAACTTCTTCTCTATGCTAAAGATGGCAGTTGTTCTCATATTCAGAGACTCCTTAAGTCAAGGATCGACCAAAGCATTTCTCTCGACATCAACTGCAGATGTACGTAGTGAAAATAAAATGCCACAATCCGCCGGCTGTCTTATCTCCAGGTAAACCGGAAACTGTTATTTTCCTCTTCCTCACTGTAGCTATTTCTAAAGCCAGTTCAGGATGGACACCCCTCCATCTGGCCTGTTACTTTGGACACAGAGATGTTGTGGAGGAGTTACTCAAGGTGAGAACTGATGTTGATATTGCTCCGTATACAGTTATGTTCAGCACATATTATATATGTATATATACATATACATTTCTATTTGCTGCCAGAGTTGTTACTGTATTTGCAGGCAGGTGCTGATGTGAATTTACAGGATAACATGGGTGACACACCTCTACACAAAGCAGCTGACACTGGAAGAAAGGTAATAGAAGGAAAAATAAAAGTGCTTCCCTGCTAGCTCATGTATTACAATAAGAAATGCTATATGCATTGTACCTTGTCATATACTGTAGTTTCTTTCCAGCCAAACTAATCAATCCATCAAATGTCTACTTTCCTCCAATCGAAGCTTTAGAGTGATGACAAGTTATGGTCAGATTTTTATTTATTTATTTTTTTACTTTTACTCTGGACCCTTAAGGAGATTGTTCTGTTGCTGCTGCGGTATGATGCCTGTGCCAACATAATCAATGGAACAGCTCAAATCCCCAAAGATGTCACAGAGGATGATGAAATCATTACAATGCTGGAGGGTATGAAATGATGGGAATATTTGCTGATGGCTTCTCATCACTGTAGATCAGCTGCCGTTGTTCTCAAATAGTGTTTGTTTGTGCAGCTGCAGAGAGGAGGGAGACAAGGCGGCGAGAGGAGAAGCTTCTGGAAGCTGCCAGAGAGGGGGATATCTCAACTCTATCTAAACTGGTTAGCGTCTGAACCTTTGTTGAATCATGGCAGAATATCTGTCTATTCTCGATTTGATAACAAAGTGTTAAAATTCACACAGTTAACCACAATTGGAACAACAGACTTTGCATTCTTCTCTGTCCACTTTGCCAATGTTAGCCAGCACCATTTACATGATTATGGTTGTATTAGTCTACTTTTCAGTTTTAAAAGTCACACATGAATATATTTTAGTCAAGGGTCTAAAAGGTCTAAGGCTCAGTCAGGGGTCAACTGTCCTGATGACCTGCTGTATGTTTTGCAAACCAGTGGAGACTGTTCAGTCAAAAAAGTGGATAGTTTGTGAACAGTTTTGCAGTGCAATGCTAAGCTGTTTGTCTGTGGTTCAACTATCCTCTCTTCTTTAGCTCAATGGGAAGGAAGTGCCAAATATTCACTGCAGGGATGCGGTGGGTAATACACCCTTACACTGTGCAGCCTACAGAGGGCAGAAGCAGTGCATCATAAAGCTGCTCAAGTCTGGAGCCAACCCTAGTATCAAGAACAACAATGGTACATCAATTATCTTGTTCTCAGCATCATCCCTTATTTTTCTAATATTTCATTAGTTCAATAATGTTTAGGACAGTTGTCCTTGGAATCATCATTTGTTATCAAAGCATTTTAAAATCAATATGTGTGGTAAATACTATGTTCTGCTAATTTTGTTCCTAGGCTGTGTCTAAATGTGTATAATGATTTGCTTGTATGGCTGATGATGTTGCAGACCAGACAGCACTGGACCTGGTCCGTAGTGATGAACTGAAACACACTGTAGCAGCCTATCAAGACAAGGTGAGAGCAGATAACTAGTTTTAAAACCTGCTACCTGAATTATCAGGTCTGCTCATGTAAGGCACTGCTGCACATTTTGTAATGCCAAATTTTAGTATACTTACAAGGTCCAACTAGTGCTCTTGACTTCAGACAATTAGTATTAAACCTGCCATTTGATTCATGTTCCATAAAAGATGATCCAATTATTCCTTTGATTACTTTGATGATCGCACCATCATCTGGCTAGAATTTAGCCAGGAAGGATAAAAATCTGACAGATTTTTTTGTGCAATGGGATGACCTTGTTCATGTTTCCTAGAGGATTAAACACTCATATGTGCATGCAGTTTCATTGTTGCAGTGGATAATTCTGGTTGACAATTCTAGTGCATTTCTTTTTTTTCACTTGCAAACAATTTGTTAATGTGTTAATGAACTTCGCACCAAACTACTCACCAGAGCCCAACACAATCTTGGGCACTCTGTGAACTAATAGTTTGCTGTATTGAAACTCAGTGCTTCATGTGTTCAGCACCTAATAACAGATTTGATGTTTTCATTTTCTCTTGTAGGAAAAAGAGGTCTATGCTATCTGCACCTGGTCTAAAAATAGTAGATGCACCCAACCATCTTTGTGCATTTTCGCATTGTCTTTGTACATGTTCACTTGAGGTCTGGCAACTGGGGAGGAAAAGCCTTGCAAGTCAGCAGTCCTTGCTCTTGCTTGGATGTCTGATAAGCCTGGCATAGCTTCAATGCAAAGCATTGAGGTTATTGCATAGTCATGATGGGAATAAAAAAAAAAAGACTAGACACTATGCTGTTAAGTAAATTGGAAAAAAATATTTACCCCTGAAACTACACAGGATTTAGTATCTCGGTCTTACCAAAAACTCTTCAACACTCTCAATCAGGCTCTGTCTGAGAATTTTCTTTTTTTTTCCCCACAAAGGATGTGAACAGTGGGGTGCAGAAGATTGAAGGCCCTCTTTGGAAGGTACCCAGATGTTGAGGTGTATTCTTGTCTATTCTTAAAAAGTCAGGCAATTTTTTTGTTCAGGCTCCCCCACATTTGATGGTATAGACTTTACTTTTGTCAATTTAGTTAACACACAGCATCATCATCATCATCATCATCATTATCATCATCATCATTTTTAGTATTATATACAAAAGGTCCCTCACAACCCTTTATTTATTATCATTCTGAACAAAAGACAAAATTAATAACACTCTCCCCTTCTGCACAAGATATATTTATACATTTAAATCATTTACTATTGCTACATAGTTTCATACATCTGTTATTGACTTCATTTGTCTCTGACAGAGTTCAAGGTTTCTTGGATGGCGATCCCACTGGGTGGTAATTGAGGATGGAACTCTCTCCTGGTATCCCAGACAGTGAGATAACTTTATTTGTATATAGTCATGTAAAGCTAAAACATTATAGTATGTACTGAGCATGTATAGTGTATCGTATATAATGTACATTGGCTGTTAGCCACAATAGAAGTCACTTTCTTATTACGCCATCCTTCATTACTGCTGTGTGTAAAAAGCCAGGCTTAAACGCACAATGCTTCAATGTTTCTTGCAGTGGCTGATATAAAAGCAAATCTAATTTCTCCCAAACAATTCTTGTTGGAGATGAAGGGATCAGTAATGGTTCATCAAGCATGCAGTCAAAACTGAAACTTTTAACAGTGACTACAGCTGTACTATATGTAGATTACAGCTGTTTTTAATTTTATACACTGCCTGTTGTTTGTGTGCTTTTTCATTTGTTTCTTTTCCCAGGGCTGACGCACGGGCTGGTGTCAGGAAACAGGGCTGTAAGTCTCTAACACAAGCCTATTGCATGGTAGGTCGAAGAGGTCAGAGGCTCATTGTAACTGATTAACCCTCATGACTACGCAAGGATGCTCAGTCCTTAGATGTTTCATTTGTGATAACACTGCACTTATGACATGATGATGTTCGACATCCAGTGTGCAAAGCATGGCCATAAGTGATTTCATGTTTGTCATTCCAGGTCAAACCATGGGATCATTGCTTCTTCATGCTCAGGTGCTTTGATGACACTGTGCTTTATTTTAAGGTCTCCTCAAAGACAAATTCAGTGGCAACAAGAAAAGTGAGATGAGATTCACCTTCTACACCCTCGCCTCCCTAAATAGTCTGACCGATTCAGCTATAGCATCTGCATAAGTAGACAAATATGTAAATGTTACTGGTATTTTTCCACTTAGAAATGGTTGGATGCGTTTGAGGCACATTCATCCTATAGTACCCATCACTGCACCGAAGAACAGGTTGTCGATGATGATGGTGATGGTGGTGTGGGAGTGGGAAACCTGACACAAGCAGTTCAGGTAAGATTTAAGTAAAATTTTTTAAGGTGTAGCTGCATGTAGGGAAGCAATGCCGTTCAGTGCCTTTGTTTCCACAATGTATTATTTTAAAAATCCATGTTTGTTGAGCTGTGAGGGTTCCCCTGTTTAAGTGCCTCTGTCCTGTACTCCTGCAGGCAGCCAGTACTTGCCAGCAGAAATTGGAGAGTGAAGTGTCAATATTTCTATCCATGGTGAAGAATGAGGAGAATTCTGGTAAGTGCCCCAGACTGTGTTACATACCAGTGCATTAACTGTGTTGGTGGGATAAATTTATATAGCAGAATAAACAATTATTCTAAGATTATTAAAAATTATTGTTGACAATAAAAATAATCACATGATGAAAATAATTGTTAGTTGTAGACCTATTATATAATATACATTTTAAGCAGCAGTTATATTTTGTCTTGTTCTGTTTTCAAGCATTGGCTGCTCCTCTTCTGCTAAAAGCCAAAGAGACCAGTGAGCTTTCCAGTGAAACTTGTGCCGCCCTCCATCTGTGCCTTGAACTATTGTCAAAACAAGAAGAGGTAGGCAAAGTAACAAACACAATACAGTCCAATTGTAATCTCATCATATTTTTCCTCACACCTAATTAAATGCTATCAAAACCATAAAAACCTTGCATATATTGTAATGTTTGTTATGAAAGTGAAACAGCGTTCGCCTTCTGATGTAAAACAAATTTCATATATCAAATCTGACATCTAATTTAATCTAGTAATATTGCAGCTCACTGAGCTTCTATGAATCTTCATCTCATTGATTCCCGTAACCTCACCCACGTGCTGAGCGCCTATTGGTTGAATAAATTGTACTGAATGATTACATAGCTCCTCCCCCTTACGTTATCTCTTTCATACCAATCAGGTTTGAAGTTTATGTTTGAGTGCGTGCACGCGTGTGTGTCCCTGTCCACCTGTCCTCATGGTTGTGCCGTGCCCTTGGGGTGGGGGGTGGAGGGGGGGTGGAGGCAATGGAACAGTGTGGTAATTACTGGCATGTCTGTAGGAAGGACACAGGCAAGATCCGCTTTTATGCTTAGGTCTGCATTCAGCTTGCAGATCAGTGTAGACGCGCGCACGCGCGCACACACACACACACACACACACACACACACACACACACTTGGATTTGGATCCACACACTCCCGCTCCAGGGAAAGGCTGTGCATTGAGCGAGGGAACTCAAGTGTGTGCATATTCACAGGCTCAGCTGGCGATACATGCTTTCACCCTCCAACAGTGAGAATACACGCTCGCAGGCACACTTCCACATGCCAGAGCATCCGAGCACAGGAGAAAGAAGAGACAGCGACAGCACTTTCTGCACAGGTACAAACCAAATAGTTTTTCTCTGCTTTCCTGTCATCGTTTTTTTTTTTAAATTGTCATCTGAATAACTGGCATTGTTTGCAGTGAGCTGGTCCCAGATGACTTGGCGTGAGGTGTTTGAAGTTTGGCATCAATTCTGATGTTTTTAGTGTGGCGTTGATTTGAGGGTTGGTTTGAAGCTTTGGCACAAATGAGAGCTGTTTATCAATATGCGCAGGTCATTACTGTGGATTTAATTATCTGAATTTTGCCTGTGAAATGTAGCTTGTTTGAAGTGCAACTGAACACACTACTCATTGCAGCTTTTTTAATGAGATCATCTTATAATGTAATGAATTCTGAGTGAAACTGATGGTATGGAGAGGAAACTACTTTGATTAGATAGTTTTTTTATTTGATATGGTGATACTTAAGGTTAAGCTTTTAAGATATAATTGTCTGTTTGACCATTTTAATGCAGGAGTTGTTTTTTTTGTTTCACAGTACCGTACGACTAAATTAAGAACTCAAAGATATACATTGGTGTCAAACTCTGTCTCATTACCAATTAAGAGACTGTGTCGAGGGATTGCTGTGTGTAGAATGGTATGCACTACAACTCTCTAATTGTAAAACCATCTGCAAAGCAGGAATTAAAATTATCTTAATATGGAGACACAACTAAGGACTCCTGTGTCTTTGTGTGTGGTTTTTGTACAATGAGGTGTTGATAACTGAAGCGATTTTGCATCAGATAGAATGAGGTCTGCTTTAAAAGTCAGCTCGATATGATATTGCTCAACAGTGCCCAAATATAGCATGTTTACAAAGTGATGTGTGCATTGCCAAATCACATTATCTTAGTATGAATCGGCAACAGCTGCTGTCCCGTCACATGGAATAAACTGCCGTTGTTATCGCAGGGAGGCTGAGGACATTCATCACAGTCTCATCACCCAAGAAGCATTGAAAATCACATAACAATGGGCAGTGAATTCATTTCTAATAACCAGATAGTGTAACAAGTAGAAAATGTCTTAACAAGCATGTTACAGCCACCGGTCTCATGTTAAGCTTCTGCTACTACGTGCGCTAAATGGATTATATTTTCTACAGTGCTGAGATTGGCTGTATTAGGCAGGATTAACTTTAATCCCATATTCCCATTGTCCTGCCACAGATGCCTCCATCGGTGCCACTTACACATTTGTTTTCTACAGTACATAACACACAGGAGTCACGTGTTGTTGTAATTGTGCTTTGATTTCCAGGCAGATGTGTAACAGAGGAGCATGAATTATATCTCAAAGGGTTTCACAGCAATTACAGTATTGCCCCTCAGCAGAGAAAATGTGGTCTGACCCAGTTCAGCAGCTGCTGCAAAATTAAAGTATGCTGGTGAGAGCGCCACATTTATTCAGTATATGCAGGACACAGTATGACGGGTTGGCGACGACATGACAATAAGGACTATGCTAACTTTCTTCACTGAACATTGTATTGAACATTGAGCTGCAAATAGACAATCCTGGGCGGAAACCATCCTGGAACGTTGTTATAGTAACTCAGACAAAACAGGTTTATAAGCCAAACCTTTCTCTGTGTTTCTCAGGCAGCAGGCTTCCACATTTGTCAAGAAAACAGATGGAGGCTTTTAGCATGAAACCACTTAGTGGTGACATACCAAGCAGATCCGTCACGTTGTATTGCTCTGAAGGCGAGAGAATGTGGCATTGTATTTTCTTTTTTCCTCCGTAGTTATTCATAAATTTGGATCATAGTATAAGAAAGCAGATTGCCTTCAAACCATTGGGAATTGGAGAGAACACAAAGTACAGTTTGCCCCTTACTTCAACCATGGCTGCATGTGTTACTGACCTACTGAGTGTCATGTCATACCCAGGAGAGACAGACTTCAGTGGGGGACTGCTAAATTTTTTTGTTGGTCCCTGCACTGGCCTCCTTCTTTTTCAGGTCATGAGATCTGTATAAGATGAGGAAGTGCACATTCAACCTAGTTCTTTGGGACACAACGTGTGCACCTACCACTATTTCTGTGTAATTGGTTACTATATCTCTCTGCAGTTCTCATGTCACACTCAAATAAACAAATTTTTAGTTGCTTAGGTCCCAGCCATCATTGATTCATGCATAGTTGTAGTTCATGTTATACAGTTACAACTGGTTAGAGACAATTAGTTATTACAGAGTACCATATAGAGCTGTAATAAAATTTCCCTCTGAGATTTGCGTCCCCTTCAGCAGAGGAAGCAAATTTTAGAACAAAGTAAATGCTGTACCCTTTGGGGTGTTGGCCAAGGAGAAGCATCCCTCCCAGGCTCCAGCAACAGCTACAGCACACAGCCTCAGCAGGGCTTAAAATAGCGCTGTTTGTGCTCAGGCGAGAGGATGCAGTGAGAGCGAAAAAGCTGGCTGGGATAGTTACACAACAAAGTGTTGTGTTCCTGAATGGGCTCTTAAGCCAAGTGCCAGGGACATGGAGTGTTAACATAGGCTTCTACACAGTGGGCTCATCTACTTTATACCATATATTCAAAGAGGGTGGAATTAAGTGATGTTTTTCAAGGAGAATCTATTTGTGGATATTTCTAATGGCTCTTATTAGCCAGCATCACCATGTGTCTCTGTTTGGGAAAATGGGCACCTGGCAAAAGCACAAACATTTTAGAACAAGAGAATGATGCAGATTTTCTAACTATTGGATTTCGTTGAAATTATAATTTCTTATCATTTAATCTTTTCAAAATATGATTATGTTATCATAATATGACTTCCCAGATTGTGTTGAAGGACATATCTTTAAGTCTGGGGAGAAACTATAAAGATGTAGGTGTTTCTCAAATATGAATTGAACAGAATCTAAATATCCACTAACACTGTGTTCCTATTTTCAGACTGAACACAGGGCTGAACAAACAATACAGCAAGTGTGATGACAGCAAGAGCAAAAGCGCGGTTTGTCCTTGACTGTAGGTGCCAGACGGCTGTTGAAGCTCGTGCGAAAGAAGCTGCTTTTCAGCTTCTGTCACAGTTACAGCAGAAGTCTCAGTGAAACAGAGTCCATGTTTATGTACAGTAGTTTGTTTTTACAAGGATAAAGGTCTATATAAAGTGATCATGGATAATTTAAGCGTGAGTGTGGGTTTTTGGTTACATCAGATGTGCATATGTACAAATGGGTTGATATGTGGTAAGGTCATAAATGTGTCAGTTAGGATGAACAGTCAGTTAACAAACTTAATGTAGCGTGACACATAGGGGTTTTATAGCTCTGTCGCAGAGTTAGGATCTGCATATTGTTACCAGTCAGTCATCCTCACCTTTGTAAGTGTATGCGAAATTAAATTTCGCCGAGTCAAGTCTGGGACACAAAAGAAATCTGGTGTACATTATACATTATGTATTTCCAAAAGATACATAATAAGCTTAGCTGGTGTTAGGGGTGCTCCAATTGGAATCAGATAAATATGCATTACAAATGGCTGGATTAGCAGCACCAAAAACTAATCAGCAAATAAGTAAATGTGTTACTCATTGTTTTCACTGCCTCATCCATCTCCACCGCACAGACATCTGCAGCAGTTTTGAAGTTGGAGCTGCTGACTGCAATGGGACAGTTCTATATACTGAATATTATATGTTATAATTGAAAAAAATTCTTGTCAAATAAATTTTAGAAAATCATACACATACTGATGTGTATTTCACAGTTTTTACATTAATGGGAATATCTCACATGAAAATGATGTCCTGGAATTTCACAAAAAACATTTTTTTGACCTTGTTTATCACATAAAATCTCCATGGTGATCACTGAAACATGATGGCTATAGGCACATACTGTATCTGATAGAGTAATTGTGAACTGAATTAAAAGAAACCCTCCTTGAGCACATCGAGCACACAGCAGATTCATCAACAGGTGTGCATGGCTGTGCCCACAACATGATGTTTCAGGCAGTAAAGAAACTTTACATCTTAAATAGAAGACACTGGCCTTGTTTTGCTGTCTCGGATTTAGAGTGTGATTTCCAAGCTCCTGTTTCTCTCAGACTTCTGAGAGTTTATGTTTACTGTTTATGTTACTTAGAAAGGCATTTAATTGGTAATTGAGTTTATTTATGTCATTTAAAGTTTTAATTGTTTAAGCCATTCTTAATCATTTATAGTAGCAACTGTAGATTTTTTTTTTTTTTACTTTTTACTTACTGACTTCTGTCCAGTTAGTAAAAGATGCACGACAGCAGCATTAGACAATAGGAAACATTGATCTAGTTTGTCCCACACTGGCCTGGCTCAGGTTGCTCTGAAGGTCCTGGGCTACAGAGCTCTCCGAGACTGGGGTATTTGGTTCCGACTGGAGGAAACCAGATCTGTGGAGAGGTATAGAACAATGGCCTGCCATCAGAACCACTAAGACAATCAAACCATCAGTCAATATTTGGTAGTTACACTGTCTATACTGAACACATGCATTAGAAATGTTGCCTCAAAACACATGAGCATAGTCCCTTCTTATACTGTACTTTGTCTCTGGTGGCTTGTGCTTCCAGGTGTGGAGCCTGAAGTTAGAGCAGGAGGTGGAGAAGAACAAAGCTCTGACAGAGGCCCTGCAGAGTTTGGCAACTGAACACGACGAACTCAAGCAGTCGCTGAGCAAGAGCAGGAGGTTGTCTACCCTCAGTACTCTCACCGAAGATGACTTCTATGACGCTGAATCAGGTCAGCAGCCCTTACTATAAGTGGTCAGTTAGTGATGTAATCAAGAAGTGAGTATCTCACTGGGGCTATAAAAGACCAATATAGAAAGTAGTTTTTTTATGGAGTGTCTTGGCGAAGTTATAAATTACAGTCTCAAGCATTATCTTCTCCGATCATCTTCTAATTTGACTAGTTTTCAACTTAAAAATGATACTGAGTTAAATGCATTGTTGAGTGAATTGTGCTCATTCCTGACATTGCAGAGCTGTCCTTAAAGGTAACTTGTGGAGTTTTAGACCAGTAGCAGCGCTATGGAGCATTGTTTTTACATGTGGGTCCTATGACATGCTACACATTCCAGACAGGAAGAAGAGTGCAAGTTTGGATGTAAACAATGAGCAAAGGAAAGGTTTTTGTTTTTGTTTTTTTCAAATCTCTTATGAGGAGGCCATTCAACATGTTTGTCAGGCCTCAATACCAAACATATTTCTTTTTAGTGAGTAGCACTAAATGTAAACATTACTTTTTGTTTAGAGAAGAAAACTCCACAGGGCAACTTGTGACACATGTTTACATACTTGTGTCCGAGCAAACGCTTCCAGCAGCACAGTTTTCACAACAATAATGAGTATAGTTAAGAAATACAGCTTTACAGTGTGTGTGTGTGTGTGTGTGTGTGTGTGTGTGTGTGTGTGTGTGTGTGTGTGTGGTTGTGACAAGACTATTGGCACAATATCTGTCTCTGAAATTGCCCAGACAACATTGCCAATGTCCTCTTCTCTTATACTCAAGGGTATTCAGAAAGTGATTATGCTTCAATTCAATTAAAGTACAATTCAAATCATTAGTTAATGGAGAGGAATTAGACAGTGGTTACTTACCAAATGTCTGTCCTGTAGGGTAATTGCATCAGCAACATGATTATGGTAAAAATGTATTGCACAAAGTTAGCTTCTCTGTCTAGTCGAAAGCCTTCCCTCTGCAACATGTTTGTGGACTATAGAGCAATCTTTTCTCAAGAATCATTGCATTATTCATAGATAGCCCTGAGTTATCTACTGGCCAGAGACACTCTGTAGTAAGACTCTAAAGTGTGCTCAGCATATGTAAGAGAATTTTCACGGCTAAGCTGAGCGAGTAAACCCCGACCATGTTTTTCTTTTTTTAATATAGAGAGTGTTTGTGCAGCAGGGTTGTATCTACTACATCCTGATTCATCCATGTAGCTGTTATGTCTGAAATTGCAATTCCTGTCAGCACATCATTTAAAATAACTCAGACTAACATATACAGTCCTCCATCGTAGAGTGTGCAAATACAACACCATTCTCCCTCCCCTCCCCTTTATGTATGTGACAGTACCTGTAATGTCACTGACAGTACCGGTTAGGGGAGGAGTTGCATTCAGCATGCACAGAGCAAACAATGTTGGAGGAAATGAAGCCTCGCTGTGGCCTCTCATTGGAACACAATCCTCAGGTGGGGTTTGGCTGGCAGCAGGGAGGGGGAGGTTGGAGAGGAACTTGAGCACAGGTGGTTATTTGCAGACAGTTTACTGTTGAGGCTGCAGCTTTCTGAGCTGGCAACTCGAACCTGTGGGTGTGTGTGTGTGTGTGTGTATGTATGTGTGTGTGTGTAGATGCGTGACAGAGTGTTTGGCATGACCTGGCATCTGCCCCCTGTCATCATCCTGCAGAGTCGGAGTCGGAGCTCTCTGTGAGCGGCTTCCTGTCTGTGGCCAGTCACTCCTGTGAAGAGGACGAGGGGAGAGACACCCCCCTTCGCAGCAGCCTCCGCCATTCCAACGCACACAGGGGGCCTACCGGAATGTCAGGGGAGGGTAACCATGGCAACCAACCAGCCCAGTACAATGGAGTCAAGAAGCACAGGTGGGACATGCTCCAGTTATGATGTCATGCTTGTTTACTGGCTTATACGATGGCTGTGAGACGGGTGGAAATTCAAAGACATCCGTGCTGAGTGCTCTCCAACTGGAGAGCAGAGTTAAAGTAAAATATAACTTTAAATTACTGAAGGACTGTTGGGTTGCAGACCTCCATCAGCTAGCTGATAGGCCCGTAAATGGCAGAGTTGGTGTAATGGGACACCACCTTTCCACTCCGTTCTGTTTTTGTAGTCAAGTGTTTTTTGTTTGAGCTCCCAATCCACAGAGAATAGCCTCTGCTGTGTTTTTCCAGACGGATCCAACTCTCCAAGTGAACAGTCAACTTAGCGCTGTGTTTGGTGCTTTGTTTCGTGAAGATTTGACAGTCTCTTTCATTTCCGTGGATGCTGGTTCTGCCTTGGCCTCTCTTCTTTAATCCAACAAGTGATCCATGAATAATTTAGCATGTGCTGGCTCAGAGTAGGAGTTGGAGGAAAGGGGCCTGGCTGGCTGACTGGTTGGCTCTGTGTGCATATGTGTAGGCGTGTGTGTGTGTGTGTGTGTGTGTGTGTGTGTGTGTGTGTGTGTGTGTGTGTATATGTGTGTGCGTGTGCGTGTGTTTGTGTGAGTAGTGCATTAAAGATTTATGAGGTGTCTGTTTATTTGGAATTACTCCTGTCATTCAAAGATACATCTGTCCCTGGTTGCCTGTAGATGGGCTTAAGAGTAGTTGTTTAATATTTCTCTCACCTTCTGTACCTTTCTATAATAACACCCTGCCATAAATTCTCTAAAATTGTCCAAATAATCTGCCTTTGACTGAAGAATACAGTATCATAAATGTTTTATTTTGAAGATTTGAAGACTTATATATCTCAGCTGTTGGCAATGTTGGCTTTAGGAAGTGCATGCAAAGTATTGATGTAACATATTCATATGCCCTACTTCATTTCCATGTTGGCTTGTGTTTCAGTAGCCTCTGCTGAACAATGCAGTTGAAAAAATAATTTTATCGGTATTATTATTTAGAATATAATGTAATCTAAGATAGATAGGTCAGATTTGTTTATAAAATTTGAGCACTTCATCAAAGAAAGGATGGTTTTATTCAGCAGTTGTAAAAACTACAGGTCCCATAAATCTTCAGTCATGTACAAGTCAAACTGTAGATCCAGTTTACTTCAGAAAATAGAAAACCCCATTATCATGTTTCAGTTTTTCCATCTAATTAAAGAAATCCTCCATGCTTAAATGCGTTTTTGAGCAGAGGCTAACATGTAGTATAGTATAGAGCAAACCCAGACTCTCTCCCTCTCTGTTTATTTAGCTAATTTAGGTTTTTATTTGTGTTGAGGACACCATTTTCCTCCAGCCAGTAAATGTTGTAAATCTGTCCACACTGCAGCTGTCAGCAAGACTGGAAGATAAACGGTGCTGCTTGACTAAATTACGTCTCTGTTGTGACTAAGTTTAAGATTTAGAGGGAGTTGGAAATTGGCTGTGTGTGGCAAAGTTAACACAGAGATCAGAATTTAATTAATCTAAATGGTGTTCAAACTTAATTATGTGAGAAGTGTTGCTGAACCGAACTTGCAAAAAAGAACAATTTAAGGAGTGCATCTTATAACCAGTCTTTGAAACCAACACACATGCAGTTGTACATCCATCCATGGATATTGCATGAGGCTTGACCGGAGCAGCTGACAGCTCATTAGCTTACAGGTGTCAGATGACTTTGTTTCCAAATGGTGGGTCAAGCTATGTTATCTGCTTTGCAGCTTTTAAACAGTTAAAACTCTCAGCAGCCAGAAGACAAAATACCTGTTTTAATGTGTGGTTGACACTAGAAGGTAGTGGATTTGGTGTCGTATTATGAAAGTAAATCACTAAATCAAGTGTGGAGAAAGCCAGGTCGGATTGCCTGAGGTGTCGATGTTTGCCTGCACGTGACACAAACATTAAAAATCGCATGACTTTCCATTAATAAAGAGAAAAACGTATTGTATTTACATATAGATGTATGTTTTGGCACATAATATGGGCACTGTTAGAAACTGTCCTCATTAATGTAATTCTCTCACACAGTTGTCAGTGTTTCTCTGTCTTTATCCTACTGTCCCGTAGAACATCTCTACCGTCTCCCATGTTCTCCAGGAATGACGTCAGCATCTGGAGTATCCTGAAAAAATGCATTGGCATGGTGAGAACAGACAGACTTCCTTCAACAGATTTACCTTTAATTTGTTGCACTGTAATTTGCAGTTTGGAGAAAATTAAAGCAGAGACTTGAGATTTTGTTTTTAAGTAGTCTTATTGAATAAGAACTGAACTTACATGAAAAGTTAGGTCATTGTGATAAATCAGTTTTGCACTTCCTCATTACTTTCTTACCCTTAGTAGTATCAGTCTTTAGTATCGGTGTCCTAAGGGATCCTAGTCTTCACTCCAGACCCTGCCTGGATTTCATTACATTTAATAAGGTCTATTAATGTTTTACTCCTTAATTAATCATGGATAATGAGTCGTGCATAATGTGGGCCGACAACTAGATATACAGTCAATATACAGACACACATGGGACACTGCTGTATACTTAAATCCTGTTAGAGTTGAGACATATTGATTGAATTAAGATAATATCTCCTAACTTCTCGCTCTTTTTGGTAAATCACTGTATTAGGCAAAAATGAGGCAAACCTCTTCTGAGGCCTTACAGTGTGTCTCGGATATCGCAGTCAAATATTATACATATAAAGAGTAGTGTTGATTCATGGCACCACCTTAACATATTGAATCTGACCATTAATTGTGACCTGTTACACCCTAAGTGCACATACATGCACATCTCAAACGCATCAGATAAAGATCTTTGTTAGTGTATTCACATGTTTATACACATATTATGTAACTGATTCACACATCATATATAAGCTTTGCAAAGAGGCCACTGATTGCAGCTCTTCTGTATTCGGTTGCATTCACTACTCATGCACTAGTCTGTGCCCTCACAGTTTCTTTTATCTTCTCCAACTCTTTCAGGAGTTGTCAAAGATTGCCATGCCTGTGATATTTAATGAGCCTCTGAGCTTCCTCCAGCGGCTAACGGAATACATGGAGCACACCTACCTCATCCACCAGGCCAATGCCACAACAGACTCTGTCGAGAGGATGAAGGTATCACCAGGCTCATGTTCACTTTCTGCAATAAAAACACATAAAATATAGTTAATCTCCAAGGTAATATGTGAGTATTTATTTGAATCACGTCAAATCATAATTCATAAAGCACTCTGCCATTATTTAACTTTGTGCTATCGCAGTCTTTTTGAATCAAACAGTTACATGCTGTTATGGGACTCAGTAGTTACTACTTTTATATTTCCTATCATAATAAAACATTAAATTAGTTGCTTGTAATTAATCATAAGTCAATGCTCTGTAGTGTGTTGCAGCATTTGCTGTGTCAGCTGTAGCATCACAGTGGGAGAGGACTGGGAAGCCTTTCAACCCACTACTGGGGGAGACCTTTGAGCTCGTCAGGTAAGACAGTAGACAACCTTATATTCACACATCTGTCGTGAGCACACTTATGTACAAAACATTTTGTATTTAGTGACGATTTAAGATTTTTTTTTAGTGGACTTTCCCTGTAGTAGCAGCCATGTTCTTGTTCTCCATCAGAGACGATTTGGGCTTTAGGTGGGTGTCAGAGCAAGTAAGCCATCACCCTCCAGTCAGTGCCTTTCATGCTGAAGGCCTCAAGGAGGATTTTGTCTTCCATGGCTCCATTTACCCCAAACTCAAGTTTTGGGGAAAGAGCATAGAAGCAGAGCCCAAGGGAATCATCACTCTGGAGCTCCCCAAGTGAGTGCACAGTCTGAGACTGCTTGTAAGTCTCATTTGATTCATTTTGAGCATCATCTTACACAACATGTCTGACAACTTGTCTTTACTTTCCCACTTCTTTGTCTCTGCAGATATAATGAAGCCTACACCTGGACAAACCCCTCCTGCTGTGTCCACAATATCATTGTTGGTCAGCTTTGGATTGAGCAGTACGGCAATGTGGAAGTGATCAATCACAAGTAAAAAATCTCTTCTCTTTGTGGTGTTCTGTGTGTATGTTTATCTGCAAACGAGCTTGCCTAGTACATTTCCACGCATAGAGACTTGGGTACATGAATAACTTGTTTCCGTGCTCTGCAGTGGAGCGTTGATCTACTTTCAGATTCAGCTTATTGATCATGGGAGCAGAACTGGGACAGTTGCCATTAAAATAGAAAAGCGGGAGCAGGATAATTAATGTTTGAGAGCCTCAGCTCACAGAAGGAGAATAGTAAAACAGAATTAGTAAGCAGTCTGTCATTCTGTGGCAGGACCGGAGAGAGATGCAGCATGACGTTCAAGCCCTGTGGCCTCTTTGGGAAAGAGCTCCATAAAGTGGAGGGATACATCCTAGATAAAAGGTATTGTCTCTGTTGAATTATGATTTTACTATTTATCAGACGTTCAATATTGCCTTAAAGCAATAAGCACACCTATCATAAATTATTACATTTTTAATTACTTTGTCATATGTAATGTTACAAGACAGTTCATTTTATAGTCAGTATTGTCATAACAATAAAGCTCAGAGATGATGTATCAAATAACAAAGACATCTAAAGCTGTGTTTTATTAATGTTTGTACTTTATATGTTTGCAGTAAAAAGAAGCTCTGTGCAATATACGGGAAATGGACTGAATGCCTGTACACAGTAGACCCTACCACCTTTGATGCCCACAAAAAGTCTGACAAAAAGAATTCAGATGAAAGGAGGGGCAGTAAACAGGTAAACAAATTAAATAAATTCAAAGTCACCTACATTTCGTCTCTATTTGGTTCAAGTTAAACTTGAACTTATTTGTGTGTGTATGTCTGTGGCCCCAGAGCAGTGTGGATGAGGAGCCAGAAGAGATGCCTCCACCTGATGCTGAAACAGTCCAGGTCATCCCAGGCAGTGAGCTCATCTGGAGGATCACACCTCGACCAGACAACTCAGCCAAGGTACGAGATGAAAACAGATGGAGGTGCAAGGAGGACAATTTGTAAATTATAAAAAGAGAGATTGTTGCTTCTCATCCTTTCTCCTTCTATGTTGAAAATGTGGTAATTTTATTCTCTCTGTGGCAGTTCTATGCATTCTCCACATTCGCAATGCAGCTAAATGAGCTGGAGAAAAGCATGGAGGGAGTCATGCCTCCTACAGACAGTCGCCTCAGACCTGACATACGCGCAATGGAGAATGGAGATATAGGTACACCGTATGACCTTGATTTGAGTTCCCATTAAGCCACACCAGCTAAGTTCCATGATCAGACTCCTGCATCTGTGTCTCACAGATTTGGCAAGTGCCGAGAAGAAGAGACTCGAGGAAAAACAGAGGATGGCCCGGAAAAACCGCAGCAAATCAACAGAGGAATGGAAAACAAGGTTAGTCAGTTAGAAATGTCATCTAATGCTGCTTTTCAATTGCTGATTGTGGGACTGTTTTTACTAAATGCCTCCCTATTGTCTTGTGTTATCCACTGTGCCTTCCCCTTTATTATAACTGAGAAGGAATGCTGCACTTGGTCCAAGGTTTGGCTCAAAGCTTTGCTTTTTTACTGTGGTTTGCTTGGATGTGAAGTGCTGCACTACACCACCCTCCTCAGGAGAAAACACACAACTGCAACTGTGTCGTTTTTAACTGAAAGCATTGGTCAATACACTGACATTCATGAAGATACTGGTGTGTGAAACTGGATATTTAAGGAGGACTAGCAACTTTTTCCACTTGTACACATTGGCATCTTGCCACAAACTAGTGTTATGCTTTTTTGTGTGATCTGTGTGTTTTTATTTTTAATTTCTGTTAATCAGCAAGTGGGGTAATCATTTTCAATGAATCTTGTCATTATCACATCTCTGCAGGTGGTTTCAGCAAGGACCCAACCCTCACAACAAAGCTCAGGACTGGCTCTACTTGAAAGGCTACTGGGACAGGAACTACACTCATCTGCCTGATATCTACTAACAAGTAGAGACACACAGATACCATACACATGGTTATCTACTTTTACTACCTTTGGACTTGGGTTTTGTGGTGGGGCTCCTAGTATAAGCATCAGTGTAATTGAGGTGGTCTAGAACAGCAGGTAGGGAATAGGGTTCAATTTAAGAAATTATGCTTGAAATATGTCTTTTAAAAAGCAGTAAAACACTGAACGAACCAAGAGGCATATATTCTTCAATAGATCTGTGTGAACAATAAAGCACAAAAACTCTCTTTTGCTCATTTATTGTGGTTCTCGACCACTTAAGTATGGTATAGGCATGTACTGGAAAAACTAGAATGTATTTTAGAAGTGTTTCATGTTAGATAAATGGAGTGTTTGAACAGCAACCTCAGTCTTACTGTTTGTAGTTTGTCTATAGTTCCTACTGTTTATGAAAACATTTTACTCATCAGCTCAGAGACATAGGGGGCAACAACACAACAGACAGCTACAATGAAGAGCATAGATTAGATGTTTTAATCCTGACACTGGTTCTACTTGTGCATGCATACTATAATGCAGTGCAATCTATTAAAATAGACCACTGTGGTGCATTTGCTTTTGGTTTTCACTCCCCAGTGCAATGAGTGGGACAGATAATTAATGTTTAACTGGATGTTTGAAATTTGCCTCATTGCTTGTTTTCAGTGTCCACTGCAATCGATTGTAAACCTGTCCAAACCTGTGTTTCCCTGTAACAGTGATTATGAGTAAAATGTTACCATATCTGACAAGAATGAAGACGAGTACTACAGTAGCAAGACTTTTCCCATAAAATAAATTTTCTGTAGCCCTATACTATGTCCTGTAAGATGTGTATAGAGACTAACAGTGATGCACATAAGTCTACCTGATTCTGTGGAGACAGTAGCACTTTTTTTTTTTCTAACTGTACTAAAGCAGGGACACTGGCTCTGCACTGATAGATATGTGTGTGCGTGTGTGTAAAGGTCTTGCCATAGTTAAGTATAATTAGCTATATTCTTCGTGCTATGTGCATTGATCTAGGTGAAATCTAACTAAAAATAAATGCATGTGCATCACTATAACTATGCAAGCCTTACCTCCTTCACAATCAAGCACTGAATATTCATTCTCTCATGTTGTGGATAGCTGCTAGAAGTTGTAGTTTTTTTCTTTTATCACTCTTTGGGTATCAATTAAAATAATTTCTATTGTTGCTAAATAAAAGCATAATATTAATTAAACATCCGTGAGTTTGTACTATTTGCTTTAATTTTAATTTTGACGGTATTCAGGGGGTTTCTTGAGTGGTATATAACAAAGTGAAGACAATATTGGTCTTTGCCCGTAATATACCCCACTGCTCTGTCGGTTTCATCTCACAACTCGTCTACAGATCAGGCAAAATCCTGGTTGGAAAATCCTGGATCTGTATGGCTTGCTGAGTGTGTAGTGAAAGTTCAAAGTGATTCAGGATAAGATGTAAATTGAAGGCCATGAAACTCAAAACCACCAAACCCCTTGTGTTTTATACCAGTGTTACTAACATGGAAACCAGCATAGTATTACGCAAATAGACTTGTGAATCAATTTAATGGTGTGATGTAACAGAATGTGAGGCAATCCATTACTCATCTGTGCAATGCAGGTCATCTTCATTATTGCTTCAGTCGATGCATCTACCATGAAATACTACATCCCAGTTCTGAAAGCAGCACACCAGCAAAACATTTAATTTGTGAGAAGACAGTAACTGGACAGCATATCAAAAGAAAATAAGTAGCAACACATTTTTCAAGAACACCAGTAAACGTTAGACTTTTGAGATTGTCAAGTACCACAACAGTACTGTAAACAGATCTGATGTAATGAGTGCAACATTTTGAATATGTAGCTGTAGCTGGATTGTTCTCCTTCAAGAAAACAACCTTAAAAGTGCTCTCAATATTCCCTGATGCTTAAGTCGTGAGTAGCTCCTCTGGGTTTGTTTGAATTATTAAAAGCATAAACAGCTTGTGTAAATCATTTCAGGATAAACTATCATTTCTTTTGTTGAATACAGTTGTGTATATATCCTGTTCAGCTTGGTGTCTCACTTAAACATGATACCTTATCAAACATACTGGATAAAACAACATTCCATTTTACAATATCCATTTTATTATCTTAAAACAAACAAATATAAAGTAGAATCAGTTTACAGCAAATGGTACCAGTGTGCATCTAGGCCACTGAAAAGTGGCACAACACGATGTTGGCACATTATTAAAACTTGTGTGCAAGACATATTTACACTGAGAATAATTCTGCTTAAAAAAGGGGGCTATGCTAAAAAAAAAAAAAAAAAAAATGTGTACTAGTCATGCCTATGGAGTAGCAAAGCCTTTACAGCACAAATTTCAAAGTCAATACCAACACACTGACTGACTGACTAAGAATATCGGCTTCTCACAGTCATAGGCTGAGTAGTTATTCATTTCAATTGTTTCTTCAGCTAATACTTTATGTGCCATTAATTGACATGACCTGACTTTTCTCTGGATCAGAGGAAAAACTGACCACCTGTGGAAGCAATATGACTGACGCCTTTCAAAAGTAATACATTTTCATCTGATTTAACTGGCATCTAGTTTTGAAATTAACAGTGTAAACAATAAAAACCCAATTTTTTAACTATTGTGCAGTGCAGTAACAGATCAGTAAAACTCCTCTTGTAACTGTTCTTCCATAAACACCTACTGTATAGATTGCACACATTTTAAAGTGATGTATTGGCTCATAATATGAAAATAAAAATAAATAATTTAAGACAAATAAATCAGTGGAACATAAGTGCCCAAAGTGGTGTTGGCTTTTTCAGAGACCTTTTCTTCCAGTTCTTTCTGAGGTGCAGGTCAAACTTGGTCAAGGCTGGGCTGCAGCGCTCATAGAGGCGAGAGCTGAATGAATACGAACATGGAGCCTGTTCTCAAAGTCATAGCCAGCATAGTCCTCCTGCATAGGCCATGAAGGAAAAGATTTAATAGTAAATAAAATAACATTTTATTGTGTTTGTGCTCTGCCCTGTAACATGTCAGCACACTGAGACAGCCCTATGCTCGGCTCCTCCTGTGCTCACTGCTGCATCTGCGGAGAGGATGAGATCTGTGCTCCATCAACGTCAGCTGCACATCTACTAACAAAGTCAATGCTGCTGCACCAGACATCTCCAACGCAATTCGGGTGGGTGAGGCTGCACCCAGTGCACGACAGGTAATACAGATACTATTCACTGTGCTTGTGTGGACAGAAGCCTGTGCAGCTTTTTGGAACTAGGTAATATTTCTTTAATGCAAAGGGTATTCAAACACCTTTCCGATATTCTGGGGCAGACCACTCAGTCAGTGCAGACAGGAGGTGGCCCACTTTGCTGTGTCATGACTTTCATGCTGAGGTCAGACAAATACACCTTACCTATGACAACAGGCCAATATAAGGTCTCCCTCGTTCTGAGGGCCCAGAACATGGGGATAACATGATAACCAGAGTGGGAGCCCAATTGGGGACAAGTAGCTGCTCCACCAAGATGTAGTGACACCACCCAGCCATTAGCCACACTCATTCCTCCCAAGGAGAATGTGAATTGTGATTGTCTTTGTGACAATCGTTTGCTCACTCTCAGAATCGCTATGCTTTGATCAGTGCCGAAATGGTCTAGCAGCTGAGAGGGAGAACACAAGTCTCTCCTCGCCCATACACAGTTATTCAATCCCAGTCTATATCCACGGCCCAGAGTTGGTTGGCTACTGTTCTTCCAGCAGGAGTGACGCCATCAAGCCCCTACAACTCCAGTTTAAATGCCCAGCTGACACACTGTACTCCGTTCACTGACTTCAAGGGGAACCAGTGGGCTTGCCACTCCTTTACTGGACAGATGTGCACGCTTTGTCTCACCACTCTGAGGCTCTTGATCTGTCTCAGAGTGGTGAGACAAAGCACATACACCCTCAAAAACTTTGATAGTCCTTGATCAAAAACTTTGAAGGCAGAAAACAGAAAAAATCCAAAATCTCAAGAAACTGCTCTCAATATTTAATAAAGCAACGTTTTGATAACAGATCTTCACCAGGCTTTTTCATGAGTCAACCAATTACTGAACCCTGTTCGAGGACAACCTCTGCCTGCAACTACTAAAAAGCAGGATAAAGTACAACTCTTTTTGAAATAGTAAAGCACATGAAGAAATCTACTGTACCTTGGCCTGAAGCATTAGCATGCGACCCTTCCCTGCAGACTGGAAAAAGAGACAGAATTAAATATGTATTAGACTACGTGACTTCTCCACCATCTTAGATAAACTAGACACAGTCTCTCTGTCTCATTCACACACATAAAACTTACCTCCGGGGTATTCAGCAGCACACAGCCCAGTTCATAGCAGGAGTAGGGCTGAACATAAGAGTTGGTCAGACGACCAACCTCATCCCTCACAGCCAGATGGAAATACTGCAAACAAAAAGGGAAGGGAAATTCCACACACCAGATGAAATCAGTTGTAGCTGTAATCACCACAGTACTGATTATTCAGTGTGTATGCAGTTTAACTATAACAATCCGACAAGTGCAGCTGATGAGTAAGGTACGTCGTGTCAACTAGACATAAGAGTACCTGAATAGCATCTTTGGTCTTATGGAGACATTTGTTTATGGCACCAAGAAGCAGGTTTTTCAGGCCTGCACATGAAGCATCATCAATGCCCTGTAAGACTAAAAACAAAATACACTCAAAGACACAACAAAAAACAAGAAACAAAATTATTATCCGTGAGACATCTTACAGTCGAGTACCTTGTGCCATTGTCTGCAGCTTGGCAGTGGAGCAGTTGGCCAGAGCTTTCCACAGATAAAGTATCTCAATCACAGACAGGATGCAGAGTTCTTTGGACAGACTGGGGCTCCTTAGCTTCTCAGCCTGATGAAATGTGCACATACACACTTTACTGATTCCCATTGTATTTTTGCAAGAATTTGCAGCACACAATCTGCTGGATACGTACTCACCCTCTTCATGGAGAACAACTCTATCTGATTATTCTTGCGTTTGAAAAGTTTTTGAACATCCTTGAAAACAGAGACAGCTCCCTCCAGATCACCTGTGGCTCCTTGGCAAACTACACAACAGCACAACACATAATATGAATCAGTAGCCAATAGAAAGTCCAGTAGAAATACCCCTAAAGCCTTAGTCAACTGTTCTATTAGTACCTCCTGTTAAATAGGCGTAGTAGCACTGGGACCAGCGAGACTCAGTCTTTAGTCGCTCAAAGGCCCTGTAGGCTTCTCTGTAGTTCAGTTCGATCATGCTGCACCAACCTAAAATCATCAACAATCAGAAATTATGATGCAGACTAGCGCTGAGTGAGGTGGTTTGAAATCTGAGAGGGAAAATAGTACCTATTTCATATAAACACACGTGCTGAATCTCCCTCTGGTCAGAGGCCAGATCTAAGGCATCACTGAAGGACGTCAAGGCACTAGTGATCTGGCACTAGAGAGGGGAACTTTGTGGTGTGAGTTACAGTTGCAGTGAGACAATATTGAGTTTTCCCAAGCTACATAGCATCCGACAAACAAAACAAACATGTATTTACCTCAAGCCGTTGGACTCTGCCTTTGAAGAACATGAAGAGGGAGGAGTTCGGATAGGTAGCCTCCCTTTGTTGGAGAATGGACTTGGCTTCTGTCAGGCCTGCCTGTGTGTCTGTGCCATCCAGAGCAAAGAAGGGCTGCACTACTGTGTGGTACCACAAGAGGGCCAAGCTGTATGGGAAGCACAGACACAGTAATGAGAGGGAATATACTCTACTGTACCGCACAGCAAAACATGTCACTTTCCAAATATGACACTATCTTGTACAAAATCATGATGAAGAACAATGAGTAATGCTTTTTAATTAATTGATTAATCATATGAAACAAATACTGAGAGATTTATAAAAAATAAAATAATGCACATACAGCCTAGTGAGTTATTATTAAGCATCATTAGTAACTGGCACTTAGCAGCTTGGTAGACATGACCAAATTCCCACTGATGGTTTTAAGAAAGGTTAAGTACAAACATAGTTGCTGACATATTTTCGGACTAAGAAGGATTTCAAAAGTGATTCATTACGCAGGCATGATTGGGCAATCTTATGCTGCCATAGCCAGAGTCAGTCTGTTATTAAAGTCCTGTATTTCATTGATTTTGT